AAGTGCTTCATGTCTTCTTCAGTTTCAGCAAGCAAGGTTGTGTCATCTGCACATCATAGGTTGTTAATGAGTCTTCCTCCAATTTTGATGCCACACTCCTTCTCATAAAGCCCTGCTTCCCGAATGATCTGTTCTGCATAAAAAATTGAAACAGTACGGGGACAGGATGCATCCCTGACACATTCTTTTCCTGATTTTGAACCTTGCTCTGTTCTGAGGACTGTCGCTTTCAGAGTTAAAACGGCCATTTCTAGATCCATCTTGAAATACAATATTGTGAGTGACAGGATAATACCCATATACATAAAAGGAAGACCTGTTAATACTGTTGTTGTTGTTGTTATATGCCGTTGAGTCGTTTGCGACTCATAGTGACCCTATGTACAACAGCCCTAAACCCTGCTGTATCCTGTGCCAATCACATTGCCTCTGCCACACACATCCTGATTACCCCAGTCACTGAATCAATCCACCTCATAGAGGGTCTTCCCCTCCTGCGCTGTCCCTCTACCCTACCAAACATGATGTCCAAAGTATGTCAGATGAAGCCCCAGAATCCTTGCCTCCAAGGAGTAGCCTGGTTTAACCCTCTCTAGGATGAATCTGTTTGTTTTCTTAGCAGTCTATGGTACATTCAATACTCTTCTCCAGCACCACAGCTCAAAGGCATCAATTCTCCTTCTATCCTCCCTAGTCATTGTTCAACTCTCTGATGCATAACAAGTGATTGCAAAAACCATGGCCTGTATCAGGCACACCTTAGTCTCCAGAGAGACACTGTTGCTCTTGAGTACTTTAGAGAGGTCCCTAACAGCAGCCTTTCCCATCGCAATACGTTTTTTTTTTTATTTCCTGGCTGCTGGTGCCAAGAGTGTTGACTGTGGAGCCAAGCAAACTAAAGCTTTGAACAATCTCAATCTCTTCGCCATCCATCCTGATGCTACCGATTGGTTCAGTGGTGAGAATCTTTGTCTTCTTGACATTGTTAATACTACTATCATTCAAAATTATGCACCTATAACTAGAGCCAAAGAGAAGGAAATAAATGATTTCTATCAACTGTGCAGTCAGAAATTGATCGAACATGTACCCAAGATGCAATAATAATAATGGGTGACTGGAATGCAAAAGTTGGGAATCAAGAAGAAGGATCAGTAGTTGGAAATATGAACCTGGTGACAGAAATGGGTCTGGGGATAGAATGATAGACTTCTGCACAATCAATGATTTATTCATAGCCAGCAACTTTTATAAGAAAAATAAAACACAGGTTATACACTTGGATTTCACCTGGTGGGAGGCACAGGAATCCAATCGAAGGCTAAATCATATCCACAGGAATCAAAATTTGTCCTTGAGTCTATCTCCCATGAATTTAAAATCCAACTCAGGAACAGGTTTGAGGCCTTGAACACTAATGAGTAAAGACCAGATGAGCTGTGGGAAGATACCAAGAATATCGCTCATGAAGAAGGCAAAAAAAGGTCACTACAAAGAAGGAAGAAGAAAAGACCAAAATGGATGTCAGAAGAGACTCTGAATATTGCACCAGAGTGCTGAGAAGCCAAAGCAAAGGGAAGAAATCAAGAAGGAGCTGAATAGATGATTTCAAAGGTTAGTATTTAGTAAGTTTTAAAAATGTATGCTCAAAGTAATAACAGGTATTTCCACCAATTATAAAGAAAAATAAAAAGGAAGGCGTGCTTCTGATTAGCCAAAACAACCGAAACAGAAGGAACTAAATGAAGTGAAACTGCTAACCTCATGGGCAGCTCAAACTGGGCCTCTGGAGTGTACAGGGACAAGTGGCACCTCAGTGGTGAAGTCCAGCTCTTCACAGCCTCAAGCCAAGTCAAGTGTATATGGAGTTCCCAAAGAGCTTTAGGGATACATTTTTTTAGCTATATCTAAGTAATGGTTGGACTCCAACCATTCAGAAATCCTAGTTAGGAGTTCATTGGGTGATTATAAATCTATCAGAAATGCACTTTTATAATAATAGCAAGAACATGGAAACAGCCCAAATGCCCAACCACAATAGAATGGATTGAGAAATTATGGACTACTATGCACCATGCAGGAGCAGTGACTTTGTAAATTACTACTTAACATGGGAGGGACTGGAGAGGATTATGCCGAGTGAACTAACTCAGTCTCATAAAGACAAATACTGTGTAAGACCATTATTGTAGAATGAGCACAAGGATCCAAGGCCGGGCGAGAGGTGGGGTGGGGGCCTTAATCATAGGGTTGCATAACTTGGTAGGTGGAGGGAGGGGTGGTTAAAGGAAAGGGGAAAGATACAGTGTGAAAAACAATGTATACAAACGTTGTAAGTAAACCAGTGTAAGATAAAAAAAAATTATATATATATATATACAAATTAAAATGTGCTATGCCAAATATATGTCAAATATACATTAATTTTTAAACAACAACAAAAAGAATACGAAATACAAAAATCTACACATTTTCATCCTCTCGCTCTGCACCATCATTCTGAAACATCAAATCCCTATAGATTTCAAACTGGTTCAAAGTAATTTTGTTTGTGAAGTTATGGAACAAAGGCTCTATTCTTTCTTTTGCCAGAAAGTATTACCCGAACAGATCTAAGAACCTGGAGAACTTGGATATTGTAATTAAGGGGAGGGAGGCACAACACAGAAAGCAAATGTGGTTAACAGTGGTCAGGGGGGAAAATGTGGAATTTGCATACCTCTGTTATAACACAGCTTAACAACTGACACATTATGTTACACACAAAAAAAGTATATCATTTTGTGAGTATTTCCATGTCTGTTGCTAAAACTTGTTTTCATGAAAAAAGGAGATTTAGGGGGGAAAAAAGACGAGACACAGATGTTCAAATTTGCAGAGACTGTAGCATAGCTGTTTTAAGTAAAGGCTGGCTGTGCTGTTTGTTTTTTATTTTATGTATGTGTGTGTGTGTGTGTGTGTGCGTGTGTACCATCAAATCAGATCTGACTGGTACAGGAGGAGATTGTCCCTCCTTCTCTAGTAGAGCATCTGGTGGATTTGAACCGCACACCTCTGGGATTGCAGTGCAGTTTCTTGCCACTAGGACACCAGAGCTTGCCTGTGGCTGTGTTTTAGAAAAGGACATCAAGACGAGATTACCTGTGCAGTTATTAAAGAAGGAAGAGCCATGCTTCCCAAAATGTATTCTGTGAACACAGGTTCCAGACAACATTGTTGTTGTTGTTATGTGCCGTCAAGTCGCCTGTGACTCATAGGGACCCTATGTACAACAGCTCTAAACTCTGCTCTATCCTGTGCCAATCTTATTCTCTGTGTGTCTCTGACACCCCTACCCCCATTACCCCAGTCACTAACTCAATCCATCTCATCAAGGGTCTTCCTCTCTTACACTGTCCCTCCACCCTCCCAAACATGACATCACTTTCCCCAGAAACAGGGGATTCTGTGATTAAACATTTCAAGGGCTCTGACTCCTCAAAAAGGCTCTTGGGAAAAGAAACTGGATTCATTTTGTTTATCCTGGAACTTCCTAAATTTCCCAGGCCACAGATGACTTTTCTTCTAGAAATCCCTATGTACATCTCAAGACTTAGGTGTTTTATCTCTCATGAGAGGTGGTAAGTTGGTTTTAAAAGGAACATCAGAAAAGAAATAAATTTTGAAGGCATGTGGAGAATACAGAAATCTCAAATAAAAATTCCACTGAAGTTATATGCATTTTGACTATAATTTTGTATTTAGGATGCTGAAGTCCTAAGCTATTTAAATATGCACATCAGTATGCTAGTCAATATAGATTCCATCTTCCTGTCACTTGGTGAACTGGTTTCTTCTATTCCACATTCTAAGTTGCAATTCATAAAACTAAAGTTTCATCATAGAGTTCACAGACAGAAAACCCAGGAAACGATTTGTCGTTGTTGTGTGCTATCAAGTTGACTAGACTCATAGTGACCCTATACACAATAGATCTGAAGCATTCTCTATCCTGAGCATACATCACTGTCTCTGACACACCTATCCTCATTATCCCAGTTACTGTGTCAATTCATCTCATGTGAAGTCTTCCTCTTCTGCTTTGGCCTTCAATCTTTCCAAGCATGATATCCTTCTTCAGGGAATGATCCCTCCTGGCTTCATGCCCAAAGTGTGTGAGATGGAGCTTGGCTTCACCCTCTCCAGGTCAGACCTGTTAGTTTTCTTGGCAGCCCATAGTATGTTTAATCCTCGTCTCCAGCACCACTACCCAAAGGCATCAAATCTTCTGTCATCCTTGGTCATTATCCAGCTCTTTGACGTACAGCAAGTAACTGCGAAGACAATGGCCTGGATCCGGTGCACCTTAGTCTCTAGGCTGACATCCTTGCTCCTCAGGACTCTAGAGAGGTCCCTGACAGCAAATTTTCCTAATGCAATTTGTCTTTTGGTAGTTTCTTAGGAAAGTATTTAGGGAATGTTTTGACCTTTCTTTTTACAAACTTCCTGAGGGTATCACTAAATCAACTAAATTCTGAATTCAGGAGTTCATTCCACATCATACTTAGAAACTGAGAGCAGTTCTTGAATTTGCTTAAAACTATCTATAGAGTCTTAAAATTCTGGACAGAGTGTTTATAATGTTCTAATTACTCTACTTATTCATTCTGTGCAGGAGACTGTTCTGTGTCCTAGGCACCGCCTCCCAGAGAAACTTTATATGTTTACATATATAAATGAATATAAAAACACAGTAATAAAGCGATACAAATCTGAGCAGCCAGCTGGTTACAAGGTGGAGAGTTAAGAGATAGTTTGTAACACAGGTCTCAGCCTGAGATCTGATAGCCTGGTTTATGCATACACTTTGAAAAAAACCAGGGTTTATTTCAAAGGCAGTGGATTTCACTTCAAACCTTTCAAACCTTTCTCCACCTGGTCTCTCTAGACTAGAAATTAAAAAAAAAACAAACAGGAAATGCCAAGTCACAAGTTTCAAGGGAACCTTTTGGACAACTTACCTCAACTTCCACCTTCGTGAAGGGCTGACAGAAAGTAAGCACACAGAGCTGAAAGCTGAAGAGAGGGGGGAAAAGTGTTTTTAACATAAAAAGTGGTTTATTTTCATTTTTTTCCATTGTTGGACATTTGCTTCCCTCCGCCTCCCCCAACAATCCCCACAAAGCACTGCTTGCTCCACACTGTGGTCGTACATACACTGTCTAATCATGTATTCCTTTTAGCCCTTTCTTCCCCTCACCAAGAGCTCTCTGATACCATAGATATCAATTATTAGTATGTAACAATCCATTTTCTCCACACACCCTCTCCCCCCTTATCACATTTGCATCATAGTTTGCATTTTTAAATTTCACACTGTGATGCTAACACTTAGGCTTACACAACCATTCTTGATATTTAAAGTTAAATCATCAAAGGCAATACAAAATATGCATTTGTGAGTCAGAGCAGCAGCTCAGCACACAAAATCCCGTATTTGAAGTCTCCTTGACAACACAGACGTACAGACCTACTTCCCTAAAGAAACTAACCAAAGTCTGCATTTTAAGGCACTTAAGTAAAATGTGTTTACACGCATACTCCAGAGTGGAACATTACATTTCTAAACTCTTTGCTGATATTAAAAAAGCAGAAACCTCAGTACCTAATAAAAGTTTTAGTTGCTGGAACACTGTCTAAAAAGTTTCAAGTTTCACTGTCAATCTAGACATAAAGCTTTCTTTAAAGTGGTTAACCAACATTCTCAAGGATAATATTTCAAATAGTTGTTCCTTCTTTAACTTTGCAGTACACACTTGGTCTCTCTGGATGGGATCTCAATGGGATTCTTAGTTTCAACTTATTCAGACATGATCCAGAAATCAGGCAGAGTAGGTAAAGTAAGAAAACAAGCAACTTTTTATCCTGTTAAGAAATTCACGAACAATGTTATCTGTCGGCACCGCAAAGACTTAGTTATGATAAGGAATACAGCAATTTAAACAAGTAATTTAACTAAAAATCTAATTTAAGAAACACAATAATTTAGCAAGAACTCTAGATCTAAGTATGAATTTCAGAACCAAGTATCAGTTCTCAAAATTTTCCATCTGAAAGAAGAAAAATCTTTTCTTATTAATTAACATCTAGGAAGCAAAGTTAATCCACATTAACCACTTTAAAGGAAATCATTTAAATAAAACCCCCAAAACACCTTAAATAGAGTTTTGGAATTCAATTGTCAGAAGCAAGTTCTGTCCTAAAAAATGAACCTACTCAGGAGGCCCCCATTAGATCTGCCTCATCCACACTACAAACCAAACAACATTGACAACGAAAAAACTTTTCCACAGCTGCCTATCCTCTAAGTTTATTCTCTAACTTTCTTCTTCCTTGGGGTACACTCCTTGGTTTCAAAATCTCTTCCTTAGATTCTGAGACTAGAGTAGCAGTAGCATAATGGTGAAAACTGACTTAGAAGCTTCAGATACATTACTTACAACAGCTGACCGGAAGAGACCAGCAGCCAAAAGTGAAAATGAGATTTGCTATTAGCTGTCGATAATGGAAATGTGGCATTTGGACAAAGTTGAACCTAGATTTTGTTTGTTTCTAAGTCTTAAGAAATCTTTGACTTATAGATAGATAGATAGATAGATAGATAGATAGATAGATAGATAGATAGAAATAGATTTATTTTACTGAATTTTACTTCTTAACTTAGAAACATGGATTAACAAAACCCACTCATTTTACTGGTGGTTGGCAGCTGCGCTACAATCTCAAAGGCACACAGTTCTAATCCATCTGCTGTTCTGCAGGAGAAGGATAGACAATATCCTCCTGGGTGATGAACTGCTTCTAAAAGTCTGCTGGAGGGTCAGCAATGGATCAGTTACAACTTGACGGCACACAACAACATAAACAATCCCCTTCCAGAAAAGTCTTCTCCTACATGGCCTACGTTTCTCTGTGTGACCCCCCAAAAGTCATATGGACCACATGTTGTTGTGAATGTCATTGAGCTATGGCTCGTGGTGATCCTATAAACAACTGATCTGAGCCATGCCCTATCCTGTGCCATTCCCAGGATCTCTACTATGCTTGAGTCCATTGATCTAGTCACTGTATCAAACCCTCTCACTGAAGGCCTTCATTTTCCTCTGACCTTCCACTTTTCCCTTCATGATGTCATTTTTCTGAGGACTGGTTCCTCCTGACAACATGCCCAAAGCGTGTGGGACAAAGCTTCACTCTTCTTGCCTCTGAGGAGCACCCTGGCTGGCTGCACTTCTCCAAAATAGACTTGATCTTTTTGGCAGTTCATATATTCAATACTCATTGCCAACAGCACAATTCAACAGCGTCAATTCTTTCCTGGTCACCCTTATTCCTTGTCTATCTTTCAGATGCATGGGAAGCAAAGGAAGCTACATGGCTTGGAGCAGGATCACCTTAGTTTTGTAGTTTTGGTTTTTTTTATCTTACAGTTTCAGTCTTGAGTTTCCTTATGGAATGCTAGGAATAATGTCACATATGGTTGTGAATCACTTTAGTTTTTAAAATAAGAATTTAAATGGCTCTGTAGTTCTGGAATTCATACTGAGTTAAGGAAGTCTCTGATTTTCTTAATGCCCTTAGTCTTGAATCCTTGCTCCTGAGCACTTTGGAGAGCTTCTTGACCAAATATTTTCCCAAGGTAATGTGACTTTTGGTATCTCGACTGCTGCTGGTATGAGTGTTGAATGTAGATCCTAGTGAGGTGAAATCATTGACAGTTTCAATCTTATCTCCATCTGTTGTGATGGTGCCTGTTGGTCCAGTCATGAGAAGTTTTATTTTCTTGGTGTTGAAATGTAATCCATATTGAAGGCTGTAGTCTTTAATCTTCTGCAGCAAATGTTTCAAGTCCTCTTCACTTTCTGCAAGTAAGGTTGTGTGACCTGATTAAAAGGCTGTTAATGAGTCTTCCTCCAATCCTGACCCACATTCTTCTTCCTGTAGTCCAGCTTCTCAAATGAGTTACTCAGCATACCGAGTGAACAGGTATGGAGGAAGGATACAACCTGACACACACCTCTCCTGCTTTTAAACCAGGCAGTGTTTCCTTCTTCTGTTCAGACAATAGCTTCTTGGTCTTGGTCTAGGTGTCACGTGAGCACAATTATGTGTTCTGGGATTCCCAGTCTTCTCAATATTTTACTTATAATTCTGCATGATCCACAGAGTCAAACATCTTTGCACAGTCAATAAGCACAAACATAGAGCCATGGCTCTTCTGAATCAAGTTTGAATTTCAGGCAGCTCCCCAAATCAATATCTCTTCAAGGATCTTAACTTTTGTTGGGTCCTTTTTTTAAATTGTGTGTGTGTGTGTGTGTGTGTGTGTGTGT